GAATGCGTTGCCAGAAATGTTTTCCCATCGACCATTTCCATATACGGGTTGGGGCCGGGCAATCCCACCATAGGTGCACTGTGGATTCAAAAGCCCACTGGCAACGTATACAAGTCAAATTTATAGCCATTCCTCTTTCTGCTAACCATCCCGCTGAAGGAGTAGAGACCAGTGATACCAACCATAACAGTGAAGTGTGTCTTTGATTTGCGATTAACTTCAATTGTTTCCAACATGTAGATAGTGCTCTATCGATCTCTTCCAAATGCAGCTGTAGCAATTGTACCAATCTTTCGCGAGCTACTACCTGTGGTATCTTCAACGGACTGTTTACTGTATAACCAATTTTAATCGAGTAGTCCGCGAGGGTAGCATTAGTCTCTCTTGTCCCATTCACTGTCCATTCCCACTGAGTTGGGTCAAGTTTCAGATGGAGAATGGGAGTACCCCTAGAAACCGTTTGACAAAGAACTTAATCCTCTGATCTAGGAGTTTCAAAGACACATACTTGTTGCATGGATGACCCTACCGGGGGGGCAGGATTATCGTCATCTAGTGTCAGTGATTTTCCTTGCAGAACATCCCAACACTCAAAGTCCCTATTCCCACCATCATTTATGTTCACCAACTTCCAAATTTGTTCAGGATCTGACTGAGTAATGGTAAACCATGTACCCGAAGGGTCTACTCCTTCCGGGGAGATTAGTTGTTTTCACTCCTCAGGGATTGCTTCTATTATAGCCCGTTTCCTACCTTCCTGGTACCATGTTTGACCCAACTGAGAGTGAAGCTCCTCGTTTGATTTCCAACTATCCAGAATAGGATTCCACAAGTCTTGGACTCTAAGAATCCCCTTTTCTATCCATGTACGGCCCAAACTTGCTGGGGATGAATAAACTTTGAACCATTCTCCAACAGTCTCTTATTCTCGGATTCTCAAACAGTGGTTGGAGCATCACTTCAGCCTTTGTGTGAGGCTCCTTCCAAACATTCGGGTTGATTCTTCTCCAAGCCTGTATAATCACTGCCCAAAAGGGGGACTAAACGTGTCTGCACTGATATGAATAAAGCATCAGACACGTCCAAACATCTTCTGATTTTGCCAGATGTCATTCTTTGGCCAAAATTCTTTCTGCTAGGATGACCCAATGGGGAGGGGGAATAAGGAGGGTTGCCCAAATGATCCACAGTACTAACATTGCACAATTTTGTCTCACTGGGTCTAACATTCCCAAGCCGCCTTCGCTGCAGGGACAACACGGCATTTCCCAGGCTACTTTCGATATGAACGCCTCTCCCTCTTCTGAGAAGGGTTTCCAGATAAATTAGGCAGCTTTTCTTTTCGCTATGGTATATAGCTGAGGGGTCAATCCTCGTACGCTCCCTACATACCACAACAATGCAAAGAGGGTTCCATTAACTACCATCGCCCTTCCATAGATTGATAGGTGGGGAGCTTTGGCTGAAGATAACAACCTATGCGTGATTTTTTGCAGTAGTATCCCCTCCTGGGTTTCCATACAATACGATAGGGCTATCTGAACACCCAGGAACCGTTCAGAATCATTTGCTTCGATGCGTTTCATGCCCCATTGTACCACTAACGGGAACTGCGTTGGCAAAAAGAAGACTGCCTTATGCCAGTTAATGGCAGCTTCAGATAGGAGAGCGTACTCATCCAGACAACTCTTTAGGGCTCCTAGTGACTGAGGGGTGTTTTGCACCACAGCGAAAAGGTCGTCGGCCAAGGCTTTCACTTTATACGGAGTTGGGTCTGCCTGTAGACCAACTATCTGTTCATGTGCTCGAATATTATTCAAGACTCTTTCTATTTGAACTGCAAATAAGAGGGGGGTCAATGGACACCCCTGACGCAAAGATCTAGTAAGAGGAAAATTGTGGGAGAGTCGGCCGTTTACCATGACTGCAGCGGTTGAGAGAGTGTATAGGGTTGATACCCAAGCGCAGAAGTTTTTTCCAAACCCCATCCAGTCTATAGTTGTAAGGACATATGACCAGTTGACCCGATCATATGCCTTCTCTAGGTCAAGGAGTAGGACGGCCCAATCTAATTCTTCATTCTGTATGATCTCCAACGTTTCAATTGCCGTGACAATATTGTCAAAGATTGACCGACCCTTGACGAAAGTTGCTTGATCAGACTGCAATAAATCCGGAAGGTATCGTCCCTGGTGACTCGCCAAAATTTTGTATGACACATTTAGGATAGATATTGGACGCCAATTGAGGATCTTAGCCCTATCACCCTTTTTTAACAGAACTGAAATAATACCTCGACACATGTTGGCTGCTAGTCTCCCACCCACTAAAATCTCATTGTAAATCTCAACTAGTCTATCTCCTACCACATCCCGTATGGACAAATACAGTTCAGCCGGAAGGCCGTCATCCCCAAGTGCTTTTTCGGTTGACATTGCTTTCAAAGCCTCATGAGCTTCAGTGGTGGTAACTGGTCGGTCCAAGTTTAGTTTCCCGATCAGAGAGAGTCTAGCCTCTGTGTTGATTCAGTGTTGCGAGTCCTTATGCAGGTCAGAGCGTATATCAGATCCCTGTGTTCTGGAGGTCAATATATCCTTATAATATAGCACCGCGTAATTACATAGTTCTGTTAGTTCCTTCGCTACCCGAGCAACCCCATTAAACAGATGTTTAAGTTCTTTCATGGGAGTTGTAGCTCTTCTCGGAAGCAGTTCATAGAAAGCTTCCTTTGTCATGCAATCATTCTCCGCAATGCCTTTGGCTCGTAATCTATCTGCCCAAATTTTCGACTGTTGACATTGAAGTTCATCCCATTCCGCCAGCAGTCTGTTCCTTTCTTTCCCCAATACCTTCTCTGAGACCGGGTGTTCTCGCATTCTTGACTCTGCATAAATTATCCGTTTCTGAATCTCTGCTACCCGTTTATTCCGTTTGAAGGCAAACATCCGAGAAATAACATTCAGAAGATTGGAAAAGATCTGTGAACCTGAATTCCACCATTCTGCAACACTGACAGTTAGGTAGTCTCCTCGTGCTTTCTCCCAGTCTTTCCAAAATTGTTTCATCCACATTATCAGACCTGGTTCCAGAAGATTTTCAGTATTAAACTGAAATAAGCCTTTTTCTCGCAGGACTTCCGATAACCACAAGTTTGTGATCCGATAAATAATGAGTTGATTCGTGCACGCTATCCACCAAATGCCATAACGTAGAGGATATCAAGAAGTAGTCTAATCCGCGCTTCGTGATGCCGGTATTTTTCTGATAGTGGGAAAACCATGTATAACCCGGAGAGTCCGGGTATGATAAGCGATACGGATCGATTTACTCCAATTCACCCATGGTCATAGTGAGAGCTATTTTATCTCTGATTCTCCTGCCCGAGGAAATATCTAATGACGTATTCCAATCCCCCGCCAGGACCAGGTTATCAGCCTTTGGGTTAATCAACAGGAGATCCTAAAAAAGAAGTTAGTACGAGAGTTCTCCTCCGTCGGGGCATAAATTGATGCAGAAACCCAAGGTGAGCCATCTACAAAGCACTTTACCCAAGACCACCGTCCCCAGATATCGGCATAAAAATCAACAATTTCCAGCTCCGCTTTCCTATGGATCAAAATCGCAGTGGCCCCTCTTGAACCTATCGCCGGGGCCCATAGTTGAGGGGCATCCCACCAGGTCGATAATCCCGAGATTTTTTCCTCAGCCAACTTAGTTTCTTAGAGGCACATCACGTGAATGTTTTTATCGAACATCCACGATTTCAGGCTATCTCGTTTGTAACGCCCTGACCCATCCCCCAATCCTCGTACATTCCAAGACCCAACTCTAATTTTGCCCATTCACGCCCTGGTTCCCAACAACAGGTTGGATATGGGGAGAGCCTTGATAGGTCGTCAACCAATTTGCAGTTAACATTAGTCTAACATATGGAGAGACTCAGAGCAATTTCTTATCCTTCAACAGTTTGCCATCCACATCAGCTAAACGTTCAGCAGACTGAAGGGGAGACATTTTCAGTTTGCGAAGTTCTGTTTTCCGGGATTCTCCAAACCAGGACAATGGGACAAGGCGGATTCCTTCTTCTTTTAGTTTCTCCAACTGGCCAGCCACTAACCTTACATCCATAATCGGAACAAATAATTTTAATCGTTTTCCCCCTCCTTCTGAACTATCTACGATTCTTCTTGGCATCGCCATATCTGGGATGATGCGGAAGAGAAAGCGATCATTGATGGTTGTTCTGATTAGTGTGACCAGCGCGGAGGACATTGGTTGTTCGGGCCTAGGAATACTTACCAGCTGTTGCGGTCCCTCCGGGGAGGGCCAAGAGATGACCCACAAGGAGTTTCGAGCATAAGTGCAGAAGAGTGGCAACACTTTGTTCTCCACCAATTGGAGCTGTCCCCTTCCTAGAGAGGCCGGAGCTCTCCTTTTTACATGAGGCGCTTCCCGACGTGTTCATTACCTTCACCCTTCCGGTGGACTCCTCCGACCTCGGGATCGAAGATTCCGAGGCTTCACCCCTTTCCTGTAATCCACTTGCGATAAAACTTCCTTCTAAAGCAAGTCTCCGTTGCTTTCCGGGAGTGCCCGAACGTGGTCTTGATATCCCCGTGCTATCTTTATCCTCGTGTCGGGTAGCAGGGTCCCTCCTTAGATTCACACTGAAGTCGTTGTTGCCTACACGGTCCCCGCTTGCTGCTTGTCCTAACGGAACTGCTCCGATTGCCCCGCCAACTGCACCTCCCATCATTCCTTATATCATTCCTCCCCCTCCCCCTCCCCCTCCTGTAGGAGGGTAGGTGGGGATGGTCGTTTGAAATGCTCCTACTCCTGATGTTTCACCCGTTGCACCTTGTTGCTGAACTTGAAACAAACCATTTGAAGAAGGGATATGACTTCCTTGCTGAAAGGCTTGGTGCGCCATCCAAGGCATGAACGCGTTACCTGTCCAACTTGGCATGCCATACTGAGGATGAATAGAGGGTTGAGCCCATGTTTTACTTATGCTTTGATTGTTGACTTGGCCGTCTGAGCCTGCAGCTGAGACAGTTTGTTGAAATGGAGAGAACATAGGATTATGGTGAGAACTGACGAAAGGTTGGCCACCGACTGGAGTATTAGATGTATCGATATGAAGTGCTGCCAGTGAAGGGGAGAGACCCAAGGGGCCCATTGGGCCCTGGTATCCTTGATTCGACGACATCCCTTGGCCACCGCTTCTGGATTGATTCTGTTGTTGTTGTCCCGTCCCCCGCCGACACTCGTTCTCCGTATGGAAGAAGGCTCAACAACGCCGACACCTCGGGGTTGCCGAGGAGGTCAGCTTCACTTCCAACTCATCACCCTCCGAAGTGATAACCCAAATTTTATCCTTCATATTAGGACGAGAAGTTGGGTCAATATCAAACTTGATGTTCACGAGTGAGGGTTTGAGATGGTCTGGCTCCGTTGGATGCGTTCGAATTATTGGACCAATCGCCCTCGCCACCTGTGCCTCCAAGTAGAAGAATGAATCGAGGGGTACTTGAACCGCTATAATCCAGAATGTGAGTTCATCCTCTTCTCGTTGTTGGTCACGGAGTTGCGCCTCCGACATCCAAGGTTTGAATTCCAGCTTGTAGGTATCACAGCCGATTGTGATTTCTTCGTGTCCCTTGGTCACCATCCAAGCCGCAATTGATCTGGATTTAGCAACGTAGGAGACCACGTTAGGGCTCTCCACCTTAACTCTCCCATGTCGCAAATTCTCCGCCTCAAAACTCCCATCCCGAACTTTATCATCTTCGAAAGCCCGGACGATGTCATCTTTAACTCGCTTAGGGAGGAACCTCGCCCGTTCACGGAAAATTACCGTCACGGTGTGTTCCTTTAACCAAGCGATCTTCACACGATCGATCCGCTCACTGACTTTAAACCTTACTTCTCTTCCATCCACTGTCATCTCCCCAGGGTCTATGTTCGGGGGCATAATCCCTTCTTCATAACATAGACGCATCAACTCTCTGAGTCTCTCGTCCTCATCCCTGTCACCGCCTGCGTCGGGAGGGGGAGAGCGAGCACCGCGTTGGTGTTCGCCTTCCTCCATTCGGACCGCTGCCATGATACCTTCTCCTCCCTGCATCCCTCCACACAGACTCGATGATTTCAATACCACTACTGAGGAATAGCTAAACTTTTAGTTATCACTACAGACAATTGAAGTGAGCTATAGCGCTCATACAAGGGACCAAGCCGACAAGTCACTATGACTCCATCGCCGATGTTCACCATTCAGGCAAGCAGCGTCGACCCTCCGAGATATGGCGGATAGGGGTCATACCCACCGCGGCGTCGTCATGATGGCGGCACACACGGTTGACTCAGAAGCCCGCGTTACCGGAGGCTTAGCGCTTGGTCGCACCGGCGGAAGCGCTTCGGCCGGTCCCCTCGTCGCCCTACATTTGGTCAGTTTCCTCATTCTGATCTCATTGAGGGCAAAAAAAAAAAAAAAAAAAAAAAAAAAGAGCAGGTTGTGACAATGTCCCGACCTCGCTCACTTCGCGTTGGACCCCACCGCGATGGTGTGTGCTCGGAAAGCTTCCGCCAAGCCAACCCGACACCCCCCGAGGCAGTGGGAAAAGGGAAAACGTGATCCCATGGCAGCACAAAGTTTCGGGAGGTTCGTCGCTGATTTCGGTTGCCTATCCGATCCCTACGTCTCCTTTCCCGCATGGATGGCCAAAACGAGAGACGTGCCCCTCCTCGGAGGGGGACCCACTAAAACTTTTGTGAGGGACGCCGGGCCCGTTTCCCAGCAAATGAAGGGGGACGAGAGACGTGCCCCTCCTCCCACTTGGCTTACCAGTCCGTCTCGATGGTGCGACCGTGCGGAATGGGAAAACTAGAACCGAGTGAAAACTTTTGAAAAAAATCTCTTCGAGAACCTTGGCGCCCATTTGTGGGGTCGTACCCTTTCGCTGGTGCGGCTCGATCCCGGTGTGATATTCCTGGCAGCAGTCATGGCAGCAACCGCCATCTCTGGCGCTTGCCTCGGCAATACCGAGGCATCTTCGTGTTCCATAGCGGCCATGCCGGTCATCTCGATGCGCAGCACGGCTGTCACACGCGCAGCGTCGACGGGCCCAGAACGACAGCTGTTCGTCGCCTCCTCCCGCTTCTGCAGCAGAACCGCAGTAGCGCGTGAGGGTGGATTTTCCGCTGCGCCGGCGTGTCCACCGGGGACACCGCGGAAAGCACGGAGCTTGGCTTGTTACCTCCGGACTAAGGAGGCGATGGCTGACTGGACGGCGGCGGCGGCGATTCAGCTGACGGATCCTGTCTGTCATCGCGCGAAGGTGATGGCGATGGCAGCGGGTCCCGCCGTTCCCGCGGGGGAGACGACGGCGATCGTGCCAGACATCCCCGTGCGGTCCGGCGGCGGCGCAAGCGCTGAAGCGGCGGACGCGGAAGCGGCGTCGCAATTCATCCGCCCGCATTTGAGGAAGCTCGCGCCGTACACTCCCATCGAACCGTTCGAGGTGAGTTCCGAAACAGAGAGCGCCAGGAATTTTGGAAGCGTCTTTATTTGCGCGCCTTGGCGCGCACAAACGGATGACTGGAAGTGTATTTGAAAAATGTAAAGAATGACACATTGTGCGCATGATCGACTGGACGACGGTCTATATATCTATATATCTATATATATATTGCCTTTCCCCCTTTGTTTAGGGGTATTTTGTTTTGCGGACCTACTGTATGGTTCCGTTTTTTTAACTATGGTTATGGTAGAATGTTTCTTTTGAATGAGAATCTTGTCTGCTTCGATTCCGGTTGATGCTGTCCCCTTATTTGGTCTATCTTAGGGAGGAGGGATGGCGGTGCTTCATGTGGGATTGGTTATCGGGTTAT